CTCTCCACATGTCAGACCTTGTCACCATTATGCACTTCTGCAGGCCGTTCCTCTGTCCTGAATAGCCTTCCCCATCAAATTCCTATTTATCCTTAAGACCCAGCTCAGAGGTCACCACCTCAGTGAAGCCTTCCCTGGCTGTCCCAACCAGCAGTAAGTTGCTTGTTTTCTGGGTTCCTGTATGTCCTTTTGTTGACAATCTAGTCATAGCTGTTTTATCTATAGATTTAGCTTCAACATAAGGATTGCATTTCTATTTGGTAATTAGAGTTGTTTTTAAAATAGAGCCAGCTCCTTGTGAGGAGGCGCTTGTGGAGAGGGTGTGGAAATTGTCCAGGCCACTGTAAGCTGCTAAGCCTTAAGGTCCCATCCCTTCTACTTACTGCCCTTCCAGGAGGGATGACATCTTTTGTACTGAGTCCATACAGCTGAGCAGGGTGCCTCACATCTAATAGGCAATCAACAAAGTTTTAAAAAATGTACTGAATGAATAAAAGATAAAAATCTGCCTTGTACGGGAGGGTGAAAGGTTCTGTCCACATTCAAGATTCCTGTCTCTAATGTCTTTGCAAAAGCCTGAAAGTGATGTCCCAGCGATGCTGATGTTTATGCTTCAGGGAGAAGCTACAGCCACCAGTGACTGTTTTGCTGTTGGGTGGGGATGGAGGGGTTGAGGCAGGAAGCTCACTCTTCCCCAGCCCACAGGAAACCCCTGGGGCAGTGCGCTACTCTGCTGCTGAATCTGGCATTTCCCTCAGGTGCAAAAATTGTCAGGAATCCCCACCATACTGACCTTTTCATCTCTCCTGTGTGTTGAGGGCATGTCACCCTCTTCACTCCCTCCTCCGGTTGAAATTTAATACCCGGTCCCCAGAGCACTTAGCAGCTTCTCCATTACCATCTTACTTACCCAGTTAACGGCATGTGCTTCCAAACCACACAGACCTCTGGGCCCTTATCTGGGCACTTGCTCTTACCAGCTGTTTGACTGTGGGCAGGTTATTTAACTTTTCTTAACAAGTGTCTTCAAATGCACAGAAGAGTTAAAACTGCCAGGGTGTACACAGTGCCCTACATGGAAGAAGCAGCCAATAAACAATCACTACTATTACTACGTATTCTTTGGTCTAACCTTATCTTCTACACCCTCTCCCCAGCACCACTTCCAGTGCTTTTCTACCAAATCAGAAGGCCCACAACTCCAACTCCTTCTGTTTTGGCTGCTGGAATCTGCCTGGTGCCTTTTCTGTCTGTAAATCCTCAACCCTGATCAGCCTGTTTCCTGGCTCCAAGAATGTTCATTTTCCATGTGCTCCCCAGCTGGCTACCAGCTCCATCTCCTAAAGGTTAAACTTGTGTTCCGGAACATTCTTTCCAAGCATTACCTTTCCTTAAAAAAATGCAATACATCAATGGTTAGGATATCAAAGCAGCTATTCACACACACACACACACACACACACACACACACGCAAATGCTTACATGCATGCCCACCCACCTCCATACATCTCCTTGTGGAAAGCCATCTAACTCATTAGGCTGTGTTTCACAATTTCCCAATAATCTTCGATGTTTTCTTGCCACAGAGACTTCTGTAATTGAACAGGCTGTGTCATTACTAAACTCTGCCACAATCCAATTCAGCCAAGCTCATCAGCAGTAGCTTCTGGAAAGATCTTCGGTATCTTTGGGCCACTGCCTTCTCCACCCCCTTGCTCCTCCCCACCCTCTCCCACCATAGGCATGTCTGTGCTGTTTCATTGGCCTTCCGTACACTAGGACCAAATACAGACCAAGCACTGAAGGGAGCAAATCCTCTGTCCTTCAGAGCACTTCTGACCTGCTCGGTGGTTCTGCTCCTCTAAGCTGGGCCAGCCTCCTTCTAAAGCCAAACAAAAATCTAGGGGTTCACATCCACACAGGGGCACTGCGTTTCAGTCTGCAGTGAAACGTGTGCCTTTTGAGAAGTCCACGCACCCACCATCACTTGAGAAGGCATGGGTAAGGAGTCAGGACTCTCTGGATTTGGGGGTGAGACTTTGAGGAAGAGGGTTAGACTGAGGAAGGTTCCAGGTGAGACAACCAGTCTCCAGTGGCTGTGGCTTCTCCTGGGTTTGCAGAACTGAGTGCATTCAAGGCCCTCAGGCCAGGGTGGCAGGAGGGGGTGTTGTAGACAGTAGGCTGTTCCCTGGGCTGAGGCTGAGTGGAGGTGGAGCTTGGTGACCAAAAGCCCAGCCTAATGGAGGACCTGGCATTGGCTTTGCATGCCCAGGGTCCTCAGAGCTGGAAGCCTGTGGGATGTTTCTTCCTGGTGAAGCCAGATGAATCTCCAGGTAGCCATAAACTGACTACACAGATTTCATTCCTGAACACATGTGCAAAGGTGATAAAATAAATGCAGATGGCTTCTCCAAGTGTCAGCAGAGGGTTTTTTACATTGACTAAAGGAACTAAACAGTACACATACATACACATGGGAAAGAGAACAACAAAGGAACCCTCAAAAATGCCAAACCCCCGAAGCTACCAACCTGGAGAAAACATTGTTGGACATAAATGAACAAGAGAGACTGAGAGAGTGGGAGGGAGGTCCAAAGACTAAGCTGTCTCAAATTTGCAGAGAAAAATGCATGCACACACTCTCTCTCTCTCTCTGTCTTCAGAAGAATCACATTGGTTGCTAACAGTTCTGCTGAGAGGTTTAGAAATACCTTACCCGGTGTGTCAAGGGGGAGTAAAGGCCTGTCAGTAGGACTGGGCCGGTGGCACTGGGCAAATGCTGCCCTCGGGGCTGCCTCCCATGGAGTAGGTGATCGATACACTTTAATTGAGGCTATTTCTCTACCATGAAGTTTGGAAATCCCTACCAGAATTCCAGGTAGGTCTCCTGCAAATCCCCCAAAGCTAATTGTCATCACCACCATCATCAGTAACCCTCAAGTGGGTTTCTCACGTGCCAGGAACTGTATGTTTTACATTGCAAAACAGTCTTACGACGGAGGCACTATAATTTTACAGACAAGGAAAAAAAGGCTCAGAGAGGTTAGGCAATTCACACAGCCTATAGATGCAAGAACCTTGGAGATTTATGGGAGCGCAGACAGAACTCTACCAACGGAGCTGCCACCATATTATGGCAACGGCCAATGTGTGTGCTGGGCAGAAACTGACAATGAAGTTACTGAAATGGAACTGGAGACTGCTTCCCTGTCCCCAGCAATGGGTAGGCAGAGCCGTCGTACAGCCTGGAGCCCTGTTTCCCTTCAGGGATGTTTTCACTGGGTCTCTGGGTTCACTTTATCCTCAGAGCTGCACTTACCCAGGAGCAGGCAGCTCTGGACTCTCGACATGCAGGCAAAGTCCATCCATTCCAGGCAGAACCTAGGACTTGGCACTGCTGTTTAGGGTCTGTGCCTTCCTGGCTGGGGTTTGAGATCTCTGTCACCCAAGCCCAGTTCCCCAGGCAGCCAGACTCACTCGACAGGCCCTTTTAAGTATTTGGAACTGAAGATCTGGAAGAGGAACATAAGTTCCAGCTGCGAACTGGGTCTGGCTGAGTCACAAGACTCCCACTGACCTATCAGCTGGTTTATTGTATCCTGGATGTAGGCTCAAGAAGCAAGAGCTACAAATGGCTTCCGGGCAGAGGATTATGCTTTGCATCCCTCTCTGGCTGTCTTGTTTATTCTGAAATGTGGTGCACCAGTGCAGTAGGGGAGGAGAGCAGTAACAAGGAAACAAGACCACATCATCATGCAAACTGGGATTTAAACATTTTCTCTGGACTTACCTGCTTGGTGACCATGGGCACGTTTAATCTCAGGCTTCAGTTTCCTCATCTATGAACTGGAGATGATAATGCTCCTTCAAAGGACTTGGGACAATTAATGGTTGCCGTGTTGGAAAGTGCCTAGCATGTAGTGGGCCTATGGCAGATTCCTCATTTCCTGCCCTCAGTTTTAGGCATCCAGAGTCCAGTGCACCAGTGCCCGTAATGATGCTTTTAACTAAATAAAGCTACGGCTACTTGCCAAGCCTGTTTTCTGGAGCTCAGTGACATGACAAGAACACCTACTCTATTAGGCTTGTGTTAGTGAGATCCCGGAGCGTGGGCTGCTCTGGGTAGAGCACATGTGCCTTAGAGGCAGAGCCATCCAGGGAAGTCCTGGCACAGGGGTTCAGGCAGTGGTGGAGCCTCTGTAGTGGTATACAGGGCACTTTGCACCTCCAACAAGATTGGGGGTGATTACCTTCAAGCTCCAGTGCCAAAAGGAGGAACTGCTTCCCAGTGGGAAAGAGGCTTGGGGGAAGTGCTAGTGGCTTCCTCGGGACCCCCTTGGCCTAGGAAACCTAGGCTCAGAGAGCCTTTGACACCTTGCCCAAGTCACAGGGAAGAGCTGGAATTTGAATCCAAAGCCCAGTATTTTCTAATTCCTCATGCAGCTCTGGGAGGGGCCAGCAGAGGGGTGGGTCTGGGCCAGGGGGACCTCTTATGAGTAAATTCTCTTCTGTATGTAGATTATTCAGGATCCATTTCAGTTGGCTGCCAGGTAACCATACAATTATTCTGTTACAAATAGCTAAGATTTTTTTCCTGTGTGCCTAAAAGGATTAAAACCACTTAGAAAAAGCAAAACCAAAACAAAGCTCCCCCCCAGCAAAAATAAAAATCCAATTCCTAAATGACCCCAAGCCCCAGACAACACATGTGCTGAAAATAAACTTCCAGCCCTAAAATTGCATGGTCATTGTTATTGTTCCAGGACCAGAACTTTGGAGCCAATTGCAATTCTTATTGGCAAAAGTGACAGCAGGAAAGGGAGAGCAGGTTTTGGCCGTGAGCTTGGTGGCCAGAATTAAGTGTGGGGCTCAGATCTCATTACCGGGGATCATTCTCAATGGAGGTGATAAGAATTCTTGTAATGAATTAATCAAACATGAAGCATACCAGAAGGGGGATTAACTGTGTCTATACATAACTCTGACATCATCTGATTTTAACAAGTTTACTAAAACGACAGTCATGGCCTTGACAATACTGAACGCAAATACTGGTGTACACAGATTTTACAGAGCAGCTCCTGAGAGCCGGGTCACAAAATAAGGTTTAACAGATGGGAGAGGCCTGAGGGAAGGCAAGCACACTGATTTTATTGAGAAAAAAGCTTATATACTGTAGGGTTGCTGAAGTTTAATAAATAAAGGTCAACTTATAATATATAAAAACAATATAAACATTTATATGCTACATGCATATCATATAATTTAACGTAATAATTTATATATGGGGAGAGATGCCAATTTATGTTCTTCCGATTTTTCTCGACAAGGCACACACACAGGAGGTGTCTATCCGTATCCATCGCCAGCCTACGAGTTTATTGTTTTCTGATGTTAGTGCTCGGACGTAGGTTTGGGACGTTTTGCACTGAGAGTTCCAGTGTTTATCATCAATCCCCCTGCAACCGTTTTTGACAGGCCTGGCTTCTTTACATCTTGTCTCATAAAAATATTGTTTGACAGGAGAGTTGCCGGTTTTGATCTCCCCCAGCACCGTGACCTGGTGTCCCCGAATGTCGATGGCCGATGACTTGTCGGTCACCCACAGACTCTCGCTGTCACATACTGAGTATTCCCCTCGGTGACTTTTGTGCTCTGCATACCTCTTCCTCCGGGACGTTCTGTTTGCCCCCACGGGGTTGCCCACGTAATCCTCCATGAGATATAGGGGAGGGGGCCCCAAGGGGGTGCTGTCGCTCAGCAGGACCCGGGGGGAGTGGTAGCGTCTCTGGTGCCGCAGCAGGTCAGTGTCCGTCGCGATTGCGGGCTGGAACCCCACCCTGGCCGGCTCTCCCTGCTCCGGCTTCCTGGCGGCCTCTGCTTTGGGCAGGGAGCTCTGGTAGTTTTCCTTAACATCCACCACCTGCTTGGAGAGCTTGTTTTTCAAAATATCTGCCTGGATCAGCTTAATAATCAGGGAATTTAGCGAGTCTTCAGGCAGACTCCTTTGATCCATGTTGTTGCCTTGGACGCCACGGAGATAAGTGAGAAATATCACATAAAACAAGATGGACATCACCTTGTTCACCTGTAAGAGCTGGAAAGGAAACACAGGTGTTACTTGCTGTGGTGGCCGAGTCCACCCCATTCAGGGGCCTGAATCCACCCCACTCAGCTGCCTGAGGCCGAGCACCCCTGTGAGGGCAAACGAGCTCAGGGGTCACCACCCCAGAAAGCGCCAAGCACCTCCCTGATGTCCAGACAGGGAGGTTGTCTATGTCTTTTTCCCACCGGGGGAAACACTGCCTTAACACGAGTCCTCTGAACCCGTAAGGCCCCCTTCTCTCCCAGGCTTCCAATGCCTTCATCTCCACCACTTTTCTTCTAGGATCATGACTGTGTGGTAGGAAGGCAACTGAGTGTGTGTGTGTGGTGTGTAAGTGAGAGAGCAAGAGAGAACAAAAGAATTTTTTTTTTTAAACAAAATGAACCCTAAACACTAGTGGCGAGAACTGTGGTTGAGAGGAGCTGGGTGTCTGCCTAGGCCCGGGTCATCTGAGCGTGGAAAACGGGAAGGCAGAGAAATCCTCCATGTCTGCTCTCCTCCCTAGACAGACAGTGCCTGCGGCCCTTGTATTTCATGCCTGTGACATCTGCCATCTTCTGCTCTGGATGGACGATGTCCTGCCCCTTCTTTAGACATCACTGGAGTCTGAAAAGTCCACAGTCTGCTCCACCTTGGCTAACTATGAAGAAGTGGAACCTGAAAATTTTGAAGGTGTATTTATAGTCTTTTATCAGCAGTAGCTGCCTTGCAATTGCCCCAAGACACAGCCCTACTGCCCCCTCCTGTGCAGCCCTGGGGTGGCTCAGAGCAGCACACGGTGGCTTGGGGGCTGGGCGCTTCTCTGCAGCATCAGGGACGGGGCTCATCCTGCATCCCTGTTCTCCTGCCTTCTAAAGGAACACGCAGGCCACCCTGCAAGAGGGCCTGCATTTCAGGGTGCTCTGCCAAGCTCTCCAGTGAGCATGCTTCCCCAGGGTGCCCGACTGCTCCCCAGCGACCTCTTCCCAAGACAGCAGCCTGACCAAAGCACAAGACACAGCGGTGACCACTTCAAATTAACGGGCTGACTCACCCTGAACAGCAAGCTGCCTTGTTGATTATTTTTCTCCTTTGGCTTTTTAATTTTAAGTTTCCATTACCAAATGTTTCTTTTGGTGGTTGTATCTCTGATCCTGGTACGTCCTTGTTTAAATGGCATTCAAACCCATGAGCACTCTCCTTCTGTTGCTATGCAAAACCTCAACACGGGCTTTCTGTTGAGTCCTTGTGGAATTACAGGGTTGACCTCGAGACACCTTTCTTGCTGGTCTCTCTCTCACTACAGCAAAGCCCAGATTTCCCAAAGGCTGGCCGTGGAAGCAGACTGTCCAGGTGGGTGGGGAGGGGCGGCTGTACTAGTGGTCCCACCTGCACCCTGTACCTTGGCCTTGAGGCATCCATTCTTTAATTGCCATTGCTGGTGCCTCACTGGCCCCCAGGGGGACATGGTTTCCTCTGTAAGTCTCTGTCTAAGCATGGAAAATAAGAACCTTTCCTTGGTTCACCTTGGGCATTTCCAGAAAGATATTACTAAACCCAGGGGGAAAACAGAATGGAAATAAACAAAGCAGGTGACACAACAAGTAGAAAAATGGTCCTGCTTACCAGGCATCCATGTGACCTGCCCATGCTAACCTGCTCCTAGGAGTCACAGATGCAGCCTCCTCCCTAACCTTCTCGGAAGTACCTCTCTCTGGTCCCCAGAGACCAATGATGCCACAGGCACTTTACTTCACCTTCCTCCTGCCGGCTTCCGGCCAGCCTCTCCGACAAGGGGACCGTCTGCCTTCCATGGGGACCACTCTTCTGGACAACTGACTCCTCAAGGTCAGGGCTGAGAGAAGAATTCTAGCTCTACTGCCCATCCCTAGAGATTACTCTAGGAATCATATTATTCTAGGAAAATGGTTCCCACAGGATAACTCATCTCCCTCCCACTATGCATATAATCGACATTTCCTTCAATATTGCCAGCCCAACAAAATGAAATTTGAACAACATAGAAAGGATGGCATATATGCAACTAGAATTATACCCCCTTTCCTCCCCTTGCCTCCAGCAGAACAGAGTACAACTGCAAAAAGTAATTTGGGATGGAGAGTCTATCAGAAACAACTTGTTAATCCCCCAAAGCCCAGACACTGTAAGATAAAAATACAGCATATCTGCTTATAGGGAAGAAGACCAGGTGTGGTTAGTCAGGGGAGGTCTCAGGCAGAATGAGTCAGTGTCTACTTTAGCCAGGTTATGGGTCAGTTGTGGGAAGAATGATGGTGGTGGGATGGTTCCCACGGCCTGGAGGTGCAAAAGGAAGTGCTTTATGGGTGGTGGCCTGAACCTGGAACCAAAGGGTATTAGAAGTAGCAGCGCCAAATGAGGAGAGCATCTAACCCAATTCAAGACCTAAACTGCACTTGAAGAAGAGGAGAGGCACACAGGATAGAGAGGGGGTTACCCCCACTCGGGCCAGCTGCCCTCTCCACGGTATTGTCATCGGGCTCTCACAGCTGAGCTCCAGCCCATTCACGGTTCCAGAGCTACTTCAATAAGCTGTGTGACCCAGGTGCCATGCTGGCCCCTTCCCCTTGCTCACCTCCATTGCCTCTCCTGTTGAAATGCTGCTGTTGGGCGATACCTGGATAGACAGCTACCTTTTTGGTGAGGCCACAAAAGCAGCAGTAACCACTTCCTTTGCATTCCCACTGCATGTTTCCCATGTGGCCACTGTGGTGGATGTCGTGTCCCTCGTGGCATTCCATGGTTTACTCACTACACACTCTCCTCTCCCAGGCCAGGAGCCCCTTCCTTCCTTCCTATGTCGGTGTCCACACCCCAGTGAACACAAGTTGGAGGTGGAGGTCAGGGGACACCGAGACAGAGATGGGAGTGAGTGTAGCTCAAGGCAGAACAGCTACATAATTTGCAGGCCTTGGTGTAAAAATTATTTAGAGGCAGGGTGGTGGCAGGAACTGTGACCACATTTGAGCCAATGCTCTGAGGCCCCAGGGGCAGGCCCCACTGTCCCACTGGACTTATAAATGAATATGCAAAGACAAAACTCTGAAGAATCTCAGGATGGGCACCACAGAGCATTAAGCCCTGAGTGGAGGTCCCCTCTCTCACAGCAGCCCCCAGGTGACGTGCTGGTTATGTGCCCCCGAAGGCCACCCTGGCTGCAGCAGCTCAGGTGCTCCATTTTGGTGAAACTGTTCGAAGTGAAGAGTAGAAATCCATTTTTGGTGGGGAGGGATGGGCAAGGCCCAGGCACCACCGCATGGGGGTGTCACGGCCAGCACTGTGGACAGGAGCTGTGATGTCTCTGCAGCCTGGCCAGGACAGGCTGGCACCGCGGAAGGTGAAAAGCCCTCACAACAGCCTGCTCCCTCTCTGGCCTCTGGCAACAAGGCTTGCAGGTGCTAAATGGAGCAGTAGGAGCCGTCAGGACTGCTCGGAGGAATACCGTCACAGTCATGACACTGCTAAGAATGGCCAAAGCACGTGACTGTAAAAAGCAGACTGACTTTTAGTTGATTGCATTGTTTTAAAATTCTCTACAGACAATACTTATAGCGTGTGCCCTGGTGAACTGCTGCTACCAGCCCACCTTGGTGTGCACTGCTTCTGGGACCCCCAAAGCATTTGGTGAATAAGAACACAGGTCTCCTGGCTCTTTTTAGACAACCCTGTGCTGCCCCAGTCTCTGGGCACACAAAGTCAATGCGGAGAGGTCAGGCCAACGCTGGTGGGGGTGGGGTTGTACCAGTGAAAAAAAATAATAATAAGAGGAAAAGTTCTCAAATGTCCCTTAACATTAGTCCTGCCAATTTGTGGATCTGTACTGCTTCTTGCCGTCAAATTCAAAACCTCAGTGGGACACTTTGCAATAAGTAGTGGGAATAAATCGTCTGTAGGCTGGTAAGTGTTTCTAAACCATTTTCAAGTCTGCATTAAAACCCAACAGGCTTCCTATGGACTCCAGTTTGATTATCTGCTTGTAGTTTCTTCCAAACCCAAGAATGTTAGTTATAGAATTTACCAAAACACAGATGTTTGAAGCTGGAAGGGACCCAGGATAACCTCAGTTTTGCAAGGAAGGAGAGTAAGGCCTGCAGAGGTGAGGAAGGGCATCGTCTGAGGTCAGACTGCTAAGGAATGTCAGAGTGATAGAGGGCACCTGGTTTAAAACTGGACAAGAGGCATGTGGCTTGTGCATAAGCAACATTATTGTGGGCATAAAAAAGGGACGCTTAAATAAATCTATGTGAAAGCATTTAGCACGGTCTCTGGCACATAGTGATACACTTGGAATGCTAGCTGAACGTGAACTTGAATTATCTGTGGCTGCAGGGATGCTGTACGCTTGTCTTCAGGGCTCACGTATGACATAACAAGCAGCTGGAGTCAAGAATTCCATTTCAACATCCAGCTCAAAGCAGTCTGCGCCAACAGTCTCCACAAGGCTTTCTCTCAAATGCCATTGCTGGTCAGTGCTTGGATCTTAGATCAGCCACCCGAGTTGTGGAGAAGAAAAGCTTATTGTAAACTGGAGGCAGAGAGAACAGGGAAACTAGGAAAGTGATCATGGCAAGCTGTGAGATGGTGTTTCTGAAGACGCTGGGGTGCAAAGAGCTTGAGTCTCATCTCTGTCTCTTCCCGCTCACCAGAACCTGCACTTCTACCCCATCTTCTGGGTGCACGAGAAAGGGGAGGCCATCAGTGAAGTTTTCTGTTTTAGAGGGACATCTGTACTTCCTGTAAGTTCACAGAGATGCCCACGCAAGCCATTTATCTTATTGCCTTACGGTTGGCAGGTCTCCTCTTTGATGGAGGGGCCATGCCTGATGCCCAGCACAGGGCTGGCCCATTGCAGTCTCAGTATATTTACTGTATGGTGCCTACTACGATCAAGACCTCCCCACGACACTGCTCACTGGCCTGAGATCCTGTGTGGGTTTCTGCCAAGCCTGGTTTGGAAGCCAGTTAACTCTGCCTTCTTTTTCCAAAGAAAATACAGACCCTGGCTCTGGAGTAGACCATGGTCCCCAGGCTCTTCTTGGCTATAATTGGAAAAAGACCTGTTAAAGACCTCAGTAAAAGCCCCTTCCTACACTCTCCCCAGTGCCCGTTCCCCTGTGAGGAGTGTTCCAAGATCCTGACCAACTTGCATATGCTATTTTCCTCACTTAGAAATGCTTTCCCACATATGGTGTTTTCTCAGTCCCTGGAGCAGCATTCCTACAAGGTTTCACCATCCCTCAAAATACTCAAAAGAGAGCAATTTCTGATTCCTCCTTTTGGCTCAGTTTATAATATACACAGAGGGTTTGGGGGTATTCAAGAAGCATCTGAAGTGGAAAGGGCAGCTGGTGGGGATGGTGGGCAGAATGGTATCAGACCTGAGCCCACAGCAGCAGGTTTCTCTCCTGCGGCACAAAGACGTGGGGGCTGCATCCTCTGAGTTCTACTGTGCCTCTCCAGTACTGGGGCACCTTCTGCTGACCTTGTGCCAAAGGTCTGGCTCACTGCACATGTATGGAGCAAATTCTTAGTCTGGCTGTAGGGGACCATCAAGAACAAAAAAGCTATGTGCAGGTACTGATATACCTAAAACTTTACTCTTGGTAACAGCTCTTCTGAGGTACTTTGCAGGTGGGGAAACTGGTGCTGAAAAGTGGTTTCATACCTAGCTAATGAGCAGCAGAGCCAGGATTTGGTCACAGTCTGGTTCTGGAATTGATGCTCTTAACAATTACACTATAAACTATAGTATATACCAGTATATACTATACTATGTTATAATGATTATACTAGCTCTCTGTCTGTCGCTGCTCTCAAACATTCCAGGGTTTATTTCCAGAGAACGCTCAAGTTCTAAGCTTGGAGCCCGGGCAGCTGCTACCCAGCAGGTTGAGCCCCTCCCCAGGAAGCCTCAGCTTTTGGAAGGGTTTCCAGGGGCTTGAGGCCTCCACTCCTGTTTCTCGCCCCCATGTTCCCTGTTGAAGTGTTCTCCATGAAAGTAAACACAACTCAGCGCACTCCTGTAGGTCACCTACCCTGCAGAGGCCATGGGCCATACTGGACAGAGCACTGGTGTACCATCTCAGGCCCTGGTTTGGCACCCGTGCTGGAAATCAGGGTCACTGACAAAGTAGGCATGAAAGCTTTCCTCAGGGAGGAGGCATGAGATGAAATGTGGAAGCGCCTTTTAATTTGCCAAGTTTTTAATAAGCAAATTCAAGAGACTTCATTATTTGTGGTGTAGCCATATCCTCTGGAGGCAACAGTATTCTCTGGCTGGGGTGGACGAGGGCCCTGTCCAGCTGTATCCAGAAGGGCCTAATTCTTTGGAGAATTTCTGCAGCTACGACACGGTCTCTGACTAATGCAAAGGGCTCAAAAGACTACATCCTGCCAGATAACCGTATTATCTTGTTCAGGGAGTGGAAAGGGGGAGAGGTGGGAAAGAGATAGATTTAAAGTACAATGACAAAAGGGAAAGGAATGTGGTGAAAATATTAAATAAAGGAAGGCCATTTAAAAGGCTGGCTAAGCTTGGTCCCCATATCTTAATTGCAAAATTAATTCAAATTGGCTTTGTTCTGAACACAGGTCCTGAGGCCTAAAAATTAGTCCATGGGGCCTTATGAAGAGTTCTGACCCATGACAAGGTTGGTTGCTGGGAGGGAGAAGCTGGTGGAACCTCCACTGGGGATTGGTCTGGTTTTGGTTAATCTCTTTATTAATGATCCGGAAGCAAGAGAGACGAAAAAGTGGCAGATTAATTAAAACGCACAGATGACGCTCAAAGGGAAGGTGCTGCAAACGCTGGTGTAGACAGGCCAATTACTCCCCAGCCCCCGGCGGGGTTGGCAACCTGGAAATAGCTTGATGAGATTCAAACTGGAAACACTAGGTTAACTCGCTGGGGGCAAGATGAATCCAAAACCAACAAGGGAGGGAAATGCTTTCAGAAGGATGTAGGGAAGGAATGACTTGGCAGGGCTACAAGGAGTAAATGAGGAAGAGCTCCCAGGCCTGGGCCATGAGGGCTTCCACAGCACCATCTGCCCCTCCAGGCCTCATTCATCTTTAAGACCCAGTTCACTCACTCTTAGCACACCTCTGGGGTGCTGGCCGTGCTCACATACCATCTGATGAAGCACTACAGTCCATAAATTGAGCATTAGAGAGGGAGGGCAAGGAACGGGGGCAAGATGAGAAAGCAGGTCCACGGCTGTCACCGAAGGATGCTGACGGCGCACTCCAAAGTCCCCAAACCAGCATGATCGGTGACCTAGAGGAGGAGAACCACTGCTCCGCTCTGCACTCGATGAGGTCGCATTGGGACCCCCTGGCCGCTGGGTAGGTCTGCATCTACGCAGACAAAGCGGGCAAGAGCAGAGGTAGGGAGATGATTCTTGTCCCGTTTTTTACAACTCCCCCATTCTGCAAAGTTCCTTGTGTTAAAACTTACTCAACTCAGCATCAGAAGCTGCTTGGCATGGACAACAACTGGCCCAAGATCTGGGGTGGGAAAGGTCCTCGATTTTCAGGTGTTCCTGATGGCAACAAGGCACACAGTCAGCAGGGAAGGTACAATTCTAGGATGACACAAAACCAACTAAAGAACCTCAGAAGGGTGACTCGCTTCCTCAGAAAGGCATTTCTGCAATCAGTCCCTCTTGGGAGCCAGAAAATGAGGAACAGAGACCTCTGAATGGATGAGGAACCTGTATCCAAAGAGCAACCCTCAAGGCCCAGAGATGCAACTTGAAAGCCCCCAGTCTGCGTTGCACAGCTAGTGGAAGAGGAATTTTACATTGTTCAAAGCATATCCTCCTCTGGCCCCGTGGCTGTGAAGACTGAAGGTATGGCGCATGTCAAAACAGTGAGCTTCGCCGCCCTGGGAGGAAGGTAGTAGTTACTCCCCAGGCCAAGGAGCCCTCTGGCTTGGTCCCATCTTGGCAAAGAGATCTGAAAGGAGCTTGGTATGCCAACACAAGCCCCAGGAAATCCAGATTTATTTTATCCTTTTCATATTACAAACTCATTTCATGGCCAGAGGGTTGGCAAGGAAGGACCCACAGAGAAAATATCTGAGTCAATTCAGCTACTGGCCATAAGAGCATTTATCTGGTAAATTTAGTTTTCTTTGTTCTGGGCACTAACACTCATCCACCACCATGCATTGAGGTGTGCATGCATGGACTTCTGCATGTACACACACACACACACACACACACACACACTCTGTAACCCCTCAAGATGAGGAAGGGTTACAGTCAGGCTATTTCCCAATGATCGTATCATTTAATATTCTGAGACATTTTGGATTTTCTTTTATTACCCGCATGTTGGTAAACCCCCTTTTCCAAGTATGAAAATACTCAAGGGAAGGTTGCTTCAGCTGCACAGACAGTTGGGGGTACAGTAAACGCATAGCACCTGAGAATAACTGCCCCAAGCCAATCCTTTGGTTTTAGATGCTTCGGGTTTGAGCTGGTTTATGTGTCAAGCATACACATTACCTGCAAAATGCTACGCAGCTGAAAGTTAATATTGTTACAAGGTAGGGGCTACCGAGTAATGGATTTAAAAAAATTATAGTAAACAATGATGATGATGATACATTATTTATCTTGTCTATCCAGCCAAGAATAGGTCTCAAATGGCAGAATAAAAAAGCTGGCTTCGTCTTGAGAGCCGGAAGCTAAGGGAAATCCCAAAGCACAACTTCCATTCACACTCTGGGATCCTCTTCCAAACCCAGACATCAGCTGACTTGGCCACACCCAAGCCTTCTTGCATCAACGGGCGCAGCAGTGGCAAGGTTGGCATCTACCAAAACCATAATGGGTTGGCCCCGCCAGGACTTGGCTGCAGTTAAGTGCAGTCTGTGGCGGCGTTCTCCTCCAGGCTTGGAGATCCGGCCTGTGTCAAATGCAGCCTGTCTCTCCTTCATGTCTCCCCCTGGCCCCACAGCCAACCTCCTTTCATGAGGATGAGGGATCGGCCCAATGTCCGGGGCTGTCTTCTGTCTGGATCACCTCTCCAGGCCACTGTGATGTCTGAAGACTGTGAGAGCCAAGGCTTCCTCCCACTCCGTGGAGCGTCCCTCCCCTCTGCTCCCTCTGGCTGCCGCCATTCACCTGAACACCCTGACGGGCCAGGAAATCGTGGCAGGAGAGACATCTCTGTGGGGAGATCCTGAGCCTCTTCTTGTCCACTGGCTGGGATGTGCACACAGGAAGAAACTCAGTCTTCCACCAAACATGGCTGTGTGCTAGGCACTTCACAAACATCATGACTCCAATCCCAACAGTCTATGGACTCTCTTTCTGGGCAGCTGGGGGAGACTGAAAACCAACCGTGGGCTTGTCCTCTGAAAGCAATTTTGGCACCAACACTCTGAACCCAAAGCTGTCTTTAATCACAGACACAGTCATAATAATCGCTTGTAATAACAGCTAGCATTTACTGAGCCGTGCCACATGCTAGGACTTTGCGGGACACTTTACATGGATTATGCCAATTAATTCTCACAGAGACGACGGCTATCCATACTTTTCAGCTGAGGAAACTGAGGCTCGGAGGGATTAAGTAATTTTGTCTGAGACCACACATCAGCTGAGAGGCAGAACCAGGAAGCAGACCCCTGTCTGTGTGACCCCACTTTTAGCTGATACCACATAATACCTCCTGATTGAGCCAGAGCGTCTGAGCCCCTTGCCTCTTGCTTGCAGTGAACTAGGCAGCGAGCATCACTCTGGTACATTATCACTTCTTTCCCTTTTTAGAGAAAGAGACATCCAAAGCAGGTCCTCTGAAATGAAAAGAGGACATTTCAGTCTGAGGGTGGCATCACTGATCCATAGTGGCTGAAAGTATATGTGTGTAACACAGGGCTAAGAGCTCATTATCCATGCCTCAGTTTCCCGGTACTTAAAATATTCCTTCCCTCTTTCCTTTTTGATGGTAAAGAAGTCCAAGAACTTTTTGAATAGGGATTCTTTTTGAAAATTGCTGGATCTTTGAAGGTGAGACAGAGTTCTGATTTCTTTGTAGTATATCTGCGGTTGACAAAGAGAAATTTAAAGTAAAAGGAAAAGGTGGACTCCTGGCATATTTCCTGCTTGGATTATGAATAAAAAGCATCTCTTGTTACTAACCGGCTTGGAGGCTCATCCTGGTGTCTCAATTCCCTACGGTATTTCTCCAAAGGGGTGCTGCTGATATTTTGGGCAGGGCAGTTCTTCACTTTGGGGTACCAGATTTGTCCCCTTATTAAATATCAATTGTGTACCCCAGTCATGGTGACAGCCTAAAAAAATGTATTCGCTTTTCCAAGTAACATCTGTGGAGGACTTATCTATCCTGATTAAGAATCACATGATGCTGGTGGATTAGAGCAGTGGTTCTTAACAGATTTTAGATTATTGGCCCTTTTTAGAATGTGATAAAAATGATGAAAGCTCACAAAACTTTCCTCAAAAAACACAGATAGAGGGAAATTTTTGCAAAACAATTTGAAGGCAGTTCAGACTCCCTGAAGTCTAACTCAGAGGCCCACAGATCCTAGGTGAGGAATTCTTGAGCCAGAGTTTCAAAGGTCCTTTCTAGCCAGAGTAGTCTATGCTTCTATTACCCTCTGCCAACCTTGAATTATGTCTTTGCCAGACCAAGTGGTCCTCATTATCGGCCTCATTTCTAGTCCTCCCCCACTCCTCTGTGTCCCTCTGAAGCTATGGAACCAGGCATCGGCATCCTAATCCACTAGGATTCTTACATAATGGGGAGGTTGTGGCAAGAAAGTGACTTGCCCCAATGAAATAACATGTTAGTGGAAGAGCCAGAAGTAGAACCCAGCTCTTCAGAGGACCAGCCTGTGCTGCCCATCCGGACCAGCACATAACAGAGCACAAGAAGGGAGGCCTGCACACCTCAGCGGCCAGCAGGGCTTCCTCAAGAAGGCGGGTCCCTTGTGAGTGGGACCAGCTTGGCATGTTTAACACAGGTCTGTGAGAGGGCTGGGGCACCTGCAGCCTCATTCAGCCCAAGAAGTAGCCCACAGAGGCAGAACCCTTCCCTTCTCCTTTCTTCTATAAACGTCTGTGTAGCATCTGTGCCGCCATTCATTGACACCTCAGGGGCCTTGGGGTTCCGTGCATTTACGTATCTGTCTCTTATCCTGTTGTCACTCCGATGACTTCACCTCCAAACTGATGGCTTTTTCATCCCTTCGCTCTCCCTGTTCCTCAATGTTGTCATGACCTGTGCTCTCCATTATGTCTGAAAACTTCACTGTTTCTGAAGAGCTTCTCTCTGTTCCAGCCAACTGCCATTATGATCCTTGGGCTGCTGAGCATTGAGTGCAGGAAAAGCTGGGGGGTGAGGGGAGTCACGGGACACTGGCCTGGGAGATACCCCTGGAAGCTTGAGAGGAAGCTTAAGCACAAACAGAGGCTCTCTTAATGTATCAGATATCAAAAGTGGGTACATTCATTAATACATTAGGACCAGGTATTGTGCACAGATAACATTGCTGGTTTAAAACATGGCTGCCAATTTTTGGTGCTCCTCCTTCTATAGCTGGTGTCTATGTACCCTCCTCTTTCACGTGGATGGCTTTGGCTGTTTGACCAATGCAGTAGAGAGTAAGAAGAGCTATGTGATGCCCAAAGCCAGGCTGTAAGAGTCCATGCCACTTCCACCTGTTATTGGCACCCTGAGCCACTTGCGTGTGACAGTCCTGAGGCCACCATGCTGGAGAGGCTCTCCAAGATGGCCTTGTGGCCAGCCCTGCCAAGGCACCAGTCTTTTGAGTAAAGCTGGCCTGGATAATCCAGACCAACCCATCAGCCAACTGAGTACAATCAATGGATTTCTGTCAAGGCCACGTGGATAGAAGAATCAATCACCCAGCCCAGCCATACCCAAATTCCTGATGCACAAAATCATGAGAAACGATAAAATGGTTGCTATCTTATGGGGTGGTTTGTTAGATGGCAAAAGATAAGCAAACATCTGGAGCTGGAAAAACAACACAGAATTAGAGGAGTCACCTGTTACGGTCAGGTTAGTGCCAGTGCATGAGATCTGCTCTGAAGGGTCGGAGGAAGACTTGGAGGACAGGTTTAAAGTGATCTCTAGGATGATTACTGGTGGACGGCTAACTTCTGAGGCTGAACCAGGAACAACAGGCCCAAACCCGGAAGCTGTCAATCATCTGGAGGGGTGCCCCAGTTGAGGTGCTGCAGTCCCGGTGGGTCCTGCCTCAAGGCGGCCAAGCAGAGGTGTGAAGCCACCCTCTCCTTCAAGGTGAGCGTGCATGAGAGAGAGAGAGAAAGAGAGAGACAGAGGGAGAGAGAGCGGAGAGGGGAAGACCTTGAGAAAGAGAGAGAGGGAGGCAGACAAGGTGTTCTTGAACACAGGCTTTCAGTTGAGTCACAGGCCCCTGAACAGGAGGCTTTTCCACGGGGCTATGGAAAAGCAGATCACCAGGAGAGCAGCCCCCTCCAAAGCCCTCACCCCCGCAGCCCAAGAGGGTATCTGCACTTCC